AATATATGAGTGTGGACTGGAAGAAAAATAATAATTCTGTATTATTTTTATTACCAACACTGCTTTCTGATTTGCAAAATATGAGAGAATAAAATATTTACATACAAGTTCTTAATTTACCTGTACTCCAGTTATTCTATACTCTGCTCTTTGGCAGTGGTATCTCAGGCTATGCCTGATGTGAAGATGAAACTACTGAGTGTTTCTGTTTCATTTTGGGTTTGCTTGTAGATCAGGGATTATGTGCTTATGTCAGTATTCCATGGGCTGTAGAGCAAATGGTTGCTGCTATTGTTATTGCTGCAGCTCTGGTACTGCAGATCGAAGACTCAGTTGTGACCTTTAGAAAAATTCTGTTCAGCAGAGAATGGGAAACAAAACTGGGTCAGCAGGAAACAGAAGGAAAGGTTCCATAAGCTGAAAGCCATATGGCTTTTCTGTCAGTAACCACTGAAGCTAATGATGAGGTGTCAAGAACTGGGAATATTATGTGGTGATGACATTTTTTTTGCTGCTTGATTTTTAGGTTGGCTCATTCACTGTGAGCGTAATGGGAGCACAGAGGCTTGTGATTGTAAGAGCTCGCCAGGCCAAATTGCAGTGCAGTGAGGATATGCTTGTGGGTTTGCTCAGAAGAAGCTGTAGCACCATGAAGTGCATTTAATTTTTAATCTGTCCTTGTACAGTTGGGGCAGGCTTTGCCTCCCCTGCCTCGACACGCTTAAATCTTGATTTATTTGGTCCTTGTCTTCCATCAGGTTAGATTAACAAACTGAGACTGAGAGAGAGATGCTGTGGTGGAAATCCAAATACTGGAGGCTAAGGTGACCGAGAGGTCATGGATTAGTCTAATAATCTGCACATGACAACATCTGTGACCAATATATGGAGACACACGGCAGCCCCAGAGGAAAAGATGGAGGAGGGTGAAGACTATCCCAGACTTTTACTAGTGTTCTGCCTTGCAGAACAAGTGTTTTTGCCTAACAGAGGAAAGAATTCTCATTAGGCAGCATGACATCACAGCTCCATATCATGGTCGAGTAAAGCAGCAATGATGGAATAGGGCAGAAAGACAAGAGCTTTATCACTTTCAGCTAACCTACTCTTTTACACTCAGAAAAAGACCTGTCAAAAGTCCTGCTTATGCTCAGGTATGACCAGATGCCAGTCTGAAAGGATAATTGCTAACTAGACAGCAATAACAGACAGATTTGCTGGCAGACTGTGCATGGGTAGTAAAACACAGAAGCAGTCCTGTGCTTTTGCTTTTTGTTGCTAAGCAAGAGAAAGCAAGTTATTCCCAAGAGTGCTTTCTGCTACAGTCAGTGATTCTGCATCACTAGAGATGTGATGGAGAAGCTAATAAACATCTATGATTCCAGTGAGAGCAGGGAACCCTGAAGGTACTGTGGTTTGTTTTCTGTTTCTTTTTCCTGGTTATTCATCAAAATATGTCTCCTACTCTTTTAACTTGGAGAAGCTCTAATGAAAACAGGACAAACTTAGAAGATGAAACAAACCATGTTACTTTGTTCTTTGAAAAGAAGTGTGTTAGCAACCAAGTCTTATGTCTACCTTTTTTTTTTCTTTTTTTTTTTTTTTCTTTTTTTTTTTGTAGTGGTTCCCAAAAAAATAATGTGGCACAAGTGAATCACAAATACTCCTGACCTTTGTGTTAATGCAAGTCGTACTATTTATGAGGCCAGATATTGGAGACATGAATCCTGTGGTACGTAGTGGTAGTCTGCAGTCTCAGGCTTAATACTATGTGAAAGAAACTATAATTCCATCTTCTAAAAACAGTCTAATTCAGAGTTAAAAATATCTTCAGGACTGTGCATATCTGTATGTGTATGTGAAGATACTTTGCAGAGATCACAACAACCCCCCAACCCAAAATGTGCTTTAGAAGAGAAAGGCAGTCTGGAGAATTACAGAAAGGGAGTGGGGAAGGGGAACTTCTGTTTCAAGCTTGATTGCTTTAATACTCTAATACTGGAGGAAAAGGCAGCTCCTTCTATACACTGTTGAGAAGAGGAAAAAATATAATAAGAACCATCCATTAATTCCTCTTCAATCACTGTTCTTCAACCCAAGAGAAATACTATTCTAAATACTGTTAGCAGTCCAGCTGCTCAACTCAGAAGGAAAAGGTCTGTTCTGGGTTTTGAGTCCAAAAGTTCGAAGATGTCCAAAAGTGAATGCAGGTGGTTCTCCAGGGAAAAAAGTACATGTGGAGGTTCATTCATGCACTCAGTGCATGATCAGGGTGGTTGTGTTCTTCCCAGCATGCATTTGCACAAAAAAGGGGCATTTTGGATGGGTTGAATTTTTACTCAGAAGAAAAATAGTGGTCTCCTCACTGACTTCTGTTTCTCTTAATTGGATTCAGATCACTGACCTTATCAACAATGTGTGCAAGGCACCTTGTCATTGACCTCAGCATTGCTTGTCTAAAACTTTGCATATCAGAAAAAAAATGTAAAGGAACAAAACATGGTTTTTATGACCCATATAATTTAACCTCTGATTTTATGCATCATAATACTGGTTTTTATAAAAAAGAACAGAGAGCACGTGAATTAACAGAAGTTCATGAAAGGTGGAAAATATTATGTAAAAGGATGATCATACTTTGCTCTATTTTCAGCAGGTCTGATGGTGTCACTTCCTTTCATAGGAAACTGTCAAGTAGGCTGGTTTTGTTTATATAGCATTTCTTTATATTTCCATCATATGAAGCAGCTGCTTTAAAATCAAGTGAGAAATACCTTCCTTTCCCCACTTTGCTCTTTGGCATTCAGGAAATTTCTGTAGCTTCACTGCTGTCTAGACAGCAAGATCTACAGAGCAAGCAGTGGCATCATCTGTCTTTCAGAAGCAAAATGCAGTGGTGGGATGCAGACATCTGATGGGTTTTCATCCTATAGTAGCTACTTCTGCCACAAAATAAGAAACCCATGTGCTGAAGGATCTGAACTGATGATCGTGCATGCACCGTGAGGGGGACACCAGAAGGCTGTGCTGCTATTCAGTAAGACCAGAACAGGCTGTAGAGTTGGGTGGAAAGGTAGTGAAAGAAGTTCAACAAGAGCAAGTGTAGAGTCTTACATCTGGGGAGGAATAACTGCATGCATCAGTCCAGGTTGGGGACTGACTTGCTGGAAAAGAACTCTCTGCTGAAGGACCTGGATGTGCTGGTGGGCAGCAGGTTGGCCATGAGCCAGCAGTGTGCCCTGGTGGCCAAGAAGACCATTGGGATCCTGGGGTGTATTACAAAGAACATGGCCAGCAGGTTGAGGGAGGTGATCCTCCCCCTCTCCTCCACCATGGTGAGGCCACATCTGGAGCACTGTGTCCAGTTCTGGGCTCATCAGTTCAAGAAGGACAGCAAACTGCTGGAGAAAGGAGAAAGAACTGTGGAAGGCCAGAGAGATCATTAGGGGCCTGTAGCATCACCTTCATGAGGAAGGGCTGAGAGATCTGGGGCTGTTCAGTCTGGGGAAGACAAGGCTGAGGGGATCTTATCAATACTTATAAATATCTGATGGATGGGAGTCAAGAGGATGGGGCCAGACTCTTTTTGTTGCCCAGCAACAGGACAAGGAGCAACGGGCAAATAACTGGAACATGGGAAGTTCTAACTGAACATAAAGAAAAGCTTTTTCCTGTGGTGGTGACAGAGCACTGGAACCGGCTGCCCAGAAGGGCTACAGAGTCTCCTTCTCTGGAGATATTCAGAACAGGCATGGGCACTTTCATTTGCAACCTGCTGTAGGAACCTGCTTTAGCAGTGGAGTTGGACTCGATGATATCCAGAAGTCCCTTCCAAGACCTAGAATTCAATGGTTCTTGTGACAGAGTACAAACGACTTTCTTCCTATTAGTGACACTGTTGCAAGTATTGCTGCTTTGCCTTGTCAAAGGGTTTTTAATTTTGTACAACAGGAAAAAATATGAGGGAATTCCAACCTTTCATCAGCTCTCTTTCAGTGGTTGCAGAATTACCCTATCCTAATTGGGACAGGTGCAAGTCAGCATGAAAGGCAGGAATGGTGTGCAGAGGTTGATAAGCTTAAAAATAAATAACTGGAGTTAACACAGAGTGGTTTTAGTTGTGATCCTCTTTTGACTAGGAAGGAATTAATTCCAGTACTAAAGTGCAGATTAAGTAACTGTCTGGAAATGGTATTTACAGCACACTGACATAGCATTTTACTATGCAGTCTAGATTGACACAAGGTGCCAATCAAGGTTACCAAGATCAAAAAAAATCCAGTAAAATTCACCTTTCTGTGTGAAACTGAGGGAACTTTTCAGTAGAGTGTATTTCCCTCTGTTCTTTCTTCTGTCTTCATAAATATAACAGCCTTAGGTACAGCATAAATATACACAGTCAATTTTATTGGAAAATAATTGACACACTTTTTTTATTGGTACAACACTTTCACCGAAGAGGGTTCTTAAATAAATACCACAAGCAAACAAACACCTAGGCTCTTTCTACCCAAAGCAATTGACTCATAGGGCTCCAGAATACTCATTCAGACAACACAGACTAAAACCCTTCTATATTGGTTTATGAAAGCAGAGTACGTATGCAGAGTGTTTTCTTCAATTCTCCTCTGGAAGAAAACCATTCTGCAGTATAGGGAGAAGGAAAAAACTCATGGTAAGTAGAAAGCAGTACTGCATTTGACCTCAGGCAGACTGGGTGGTGACCTGTCACCCCACTGGTGATGAGCCTGCCCTGACATTTCCAGGTTTCTGCTCTGCTTAGTGAGATGTGCCTAAAAGCTGAGTGTCTAACACACTCTGTAGTGGGTTTCTTGGAAAGTCTAGTGCCTGCACAGCACAGGGCTTCCAAAGGTTTCTTAAAAACAATACCTGCTAACTACCTCAAATAAATACTTGGTCCTATGGTGCATATGGTGGAGGCTTTTCTCCAGGCAAGAAGTAAGTCGGTGCATAGAGGGGTGGAGCATTGGGGGGAAGACCGTAGCTGGAGCTGGACTGAGAGGGAGGCTGAGTATCTTCTGATAAAGAAATGTCAGTAGATGATGTTCCTGGAAAATTGCTGGCAGGCTGTATGTAGACAAAGAAAAATATTTTCTTCAATAAAGAATTATGACCCCTGTTTTGCAGCTCTTAGTTGTTTGTCAGTTAAGTCAGATAAGTATTATCAGGTAAGTATTATCCAGTATGGCCCATGGTTAATTTTCTCTTGCATTGCAGCACAGCACTCCGAACACCTGCATAAGGGTAGCAAATACAGTTTATAGTGAAAGAAGACAGATTCCATCTGTAACCCAAGTCATTTTTAATTGACATTGTGCATACAGCTAAGCAACAGAACAGGACAATAATTTCTGCAGGTTTCCTGGGTGAGGCATGGAACCCAACTGGCTGATTAAGTTATGTGCAGCTGCTAGTCTTCAGGCATCACTCTGACATGTAAGTTATCTCAGAGTTGTAATACTTGCTTAAATGCAGGGTCTTATTGCTATGCCAAATGCAGACTTCTCTTACAAACAAATTTACAGTTAGGCATGTGTCTCCCTGTAGCTCTTTCAGCTGTCTCAGTTATTATGGGGCTTTGGCTGGAAAGAGGCATGACAAATGACCTTAGGAAACAGCCCATGCTGAGTAACAACCAGAGTTTGTTAAAACTTAAGGATGCATCCAGGAACTAAAGTTTTGGATACAATCCTACTACTACTTTAAGCCAAGTTTTGCCATTTATCACAAGAGGGTCAGGATTTCACTCCTCCCCTCACATGCCAGCACATGGCAGTCCATGGGCTTCATCAGAAGAGTTGTGCTCAGTTCCCCTCAGGTTCAGGCCTAAAGTGCCTGGAATTTAAAAATAAAAATAAAAATAATAGTAATCATGGATCTGTTATTTCAAGGGAAATGAAAAAATCCAAGCAAGAAAACAGTGCTGTCTTGGGTACTTACCATCTAGATAGTGATACCAGGGCTGATACTTTGCTGGTGGAACCTCAGAGCTACCCAGGGCTACCAGTCCCCATGCCACAGTACCCATCTAGCTTCTTTGTAGGACCTCAGGGGACTGCAAACTCCCATGGAGAGGAAAAGTCCTGCATTTGTACCACAGCGTGACTTAGTGAGAAAAGAGATTTTGCAGCAGGAAGGGTGTTTATGTACCGCCATTATCCAGGAGGCAGTGGAGGTAACACCCAAAGACCTGCTGGCTAGATCAGCTCCAAACATAGTTGTTGAGCTTAGTGTGGTTTGGTTTCTGGTTTGGTTTTGTTTTTGTTTTTTTGTAGCTGTTGCTTCTCTCACCCTTGAACTGCATCCACCGTTTCCACACATCTGTCTGGCAGTGCTTCTGTAATGAGTTCTTTGTTTGGCAGGCACGGCTGCCACAACCATACCACTGTCATCACCTCCAGCCTCCACACAGCTAATCATTTACCTGACCAGCTGGCAGCTCTCTGACTAAGACTGGTTGTGTCTGAGTTGTTCCAGTAAGGACTGAGTGATTTTGTTATCACATGCCACAGTAAAGAGCTGCTGATTACAACTTTGTCAAAATGCATTCCTGTTGTCTCTTTTTATTTGCATTTTCTGGTTTCTGCTTGTGGACAGACTGTGAGGTAAACTAAGCATTTACTAACACCCCAAAGAGTGATTTTTAATTATTTTTTTTAAGACTGTTCACCTTTCCAGCAAGCAGTTACTCAGCGAGATACTACAGAACACTAGGAACATATCATAGAATCACAAAACTGCCAAGGCTGGAAAAGACTTCCAAGATCATCTAGTCCAACTGTCCACTTACCACTTTCCCCACTAAACTAACCTGATCAATTCTTAGGTGAACTCTTAGCTGAACGAATTTTGTTTCTTTTATTGCCCTGAGCCACCATGTGTGTGACCCTACCTTAACTGGAGCAGGTGCAAGTCAGCATGAAAAGCAGGAATGGTGTGCAGCCAAAGGGAATGCAGAGAAAGAAAGGTGCATCTTAGGGTCTTCCTCACCAGTAACCTTAGGAAGGATACCGGAGGGGGAATGAGGACTGAGGATGAGTTGCCAGCCTCCAGTTGGGCTTCCCATGTGAGCTCAGCTCCTGGTGCTCAATGCTGAGGCCATCAGCACCACCTCTACCTGTGGCAGGGCTTGCATGGCAAGGCTGCCCTGAGAGCGCTCCTGGGAGTTGGGGCTCTGTCACCCTCTGAGTCCCCAGCCGTGGTAATGTTACTAAGTACTGCCAAGGCAGAGGTGGATCCTGGTCTACTTGGAAGCAAAAATTTTACACCCAGGAGATGCTCATGGTTACCCTCTGAGGCTCCAAAAGTAAATGCAAGGCCTGTGTAGACCTTTGGCCATCAGATAGCTTTATGGCTGTCTGGCAAACCTGAGGCCATCTCAGATGTAATATCATCAGGCAACCGTGTCACAGCCATAAGATACAGGGTTCAGCCTTGAATTTTGATGTCTCCATTCAGGTCTCAATGACATCACCACCTAGGTGAACAGACTCACTCAGATGGAGTGTTCTACACTGCAGACATCTTCATTCTGCTGCCTGCACATCAGTGTCTAGCCCTTTTGGGGTGCCATGCAGCATGCCAGACATCCATACTGATATGGTATAGGGATGTTGAGACCTGGACTCTCTTAAAGCATCAGCAGGTACCAGGTGGCTACCTGGTCTCATCACACAGCACTAGATCTCAGCCAACGGCCCCTGCATTTAGTTACATTAATCACAGTAGTCCAGACTTCTCAATTGCCTTAAGGACCAGCACCAGCTAAGGAGGTCTTCTGGAGGTCTGAATGCAGCAGCAGGGCATTAACAAGGATTGTAAAGGCCTCCAGCCCTATGGGTTCAGCCCACAGCTCTCAATGGATGAGCATGTTATATGAGCATTTGGCTGTTCCAAATAAAGTCTGTTTCTCACATTCACTTTTTTGTAACTTTGAGTAAGTTTATGATACCTCATAAATATTGCATTATATCGAAGCACAAATTGTCTCCAAAGTACAACATATTAGCTTATACATACACTAAGACTGTTTGCTTTTTTTTTTTTCTTTCTTCCAAGAAAAGGATTAAGTGCTTTCCCTTTTGGATGCCCTGCACTTCTTGCTAACCTCTCCTGACTTGGAGACAGCTGGTGATGTCCACCTCTGAGTGTCAGGAAGGGAAGATAAATAACACGCTTCTTAGAAAAAGTAGAAACTTGTGGTGGGGGAGAGTATTTAAGTGCTAGTTTTCGAATGCAATTAAGAATTTGGGATAAATATTTCTGTTTGCCAGTGGACAAAGGACTGAGCAGTTGCAATCGATCCTCAGGACTACTTACATGCATTTTTTCAGCTTCATTGCTTGCTTTTGTCTGTTTGTCCCCTTCTCTCTTTACTCTTGGCTACATGCTAACTGAACTCTGCCGAACAGCACAGCTTTTCAGCTAAAAGCAAACAAAAAAAGATTTCTGGGTGTACTCTTGTTTTCCTCTGAACCAACAGTCTGCAAAAGTGCCTCCTCATTTTGTTAATAACTACAACGTGCCAAGGACTGTTCTTTGGCTGTGAAGCCAACTGGCACAGCACATATCACATCCCAACAGCTGAACTCTCACTACCAAAACAGTGTGAATGTCTGTATGCACACTTCCAATCTGGAATGGTCCACTGCTCTTGCTGTCTCCTGAGCCCTTCAAAGATGTTGAGACTGTTAGGTGATCTGGACCAAACCCATACCAGGAGGGGGCTAGCAATTCACCAGTGTGGTTGGTCACTGGCCCTTAACAGATGTGGCCCAGGAGGCTGCAGATAGCTGCTCTACATCCCACTCATACTAAATATGCTGTACTTTCTATTGAGAGGAATTACAAAACGTTGTACCCACTGGTCTACAGGTACACAGCCTAAGTATAACTAGTCACTGGATGAACACATCAGCCTTATTGTAACTTAAAAATCTAAAAATGCTCACAGTTTTTCTAGTGTCTCAGTGCATTCAGCTATTTACCAACTCGCTTCTGTGTTCATCTCACTTTGTTCACTCTGTGCTGCATTGCCTGAGCACAGCCGTGACCAGGACTGACACCTGTTGTGCCAGGCCCAACACTTTGCTATGGCCAGGAGTCAGCACTGCAAGGGAAGGACAAAAGGGAGATACAGAAACCACCTTGCGCCTGCAGGGCATGTGTCATCCCCCAGAGCACAACCCAAACTCTGGTTAGGTACAGATGCCTAAATGTTGTGTAGTGGGAGATAGATGTGTCCAAAAAGATACATTTTAATAATTCTCACATTAAGCAGGGAGCCATTGTAGCATGGGCTACCTTCTACAACAGCCCTCTGAGGATGTGAAGCATCTGGCTCGTGGGACATACTGTCAAGACCCTCTGTGGAGGGAATTAGTTTTGCCTATGCTCCACAGAGGGTCCCTGGCAGTAGGAATGGTGCATTTTCCACTGAAGCTATTTGATAGCCAGCTGGAATAGGAGCAGACTATGAAGGTTCAAAGTCCTCTGGTAAAGAAGGGTCAAGAGGCCTCTTGCCACCAGGCAATGAGAGCAAAAAAAAATCAAACAACATCCTCAGTATCATTCACTGCATTTTCTAGGCCAGCTCTGGGCTGGACTCACCAGTGTTTAACAGCAGCTGAAGGACAACGTTCCTAACCCCTCATTTGTACTCTCACAACGTTCCATGACATTGAATTTTCTTTGGCATCTAAAAACACTTCCTCTTTCTGGTTTGTTTTGCCACTAAAATCTGTACTGGTGCAACTAAAACTGTCTGATGAGAAATTATTGCTAATATTCAGCCAAAACCCTTCCTATATCACTCAGTTTTTCAGACCTTTATTTGCTCCCCTCTCTTGGTTTCTTTCCATCTGATGAGTCTTCATTTTCTGTTTCCCATACTAAAAATTATGCAGGCTAAGGTATATATAACTGATGCAGATGCCTCTGCTTCTGCTTTATCTAGCCCAGCATAAGAGCTGTCTTCACCTTTGTGACTGCTGCAATGCAGTTCTAATCCCACACTAGGATTTCAAGTCAACAGGCAGAGTCCACAGGATGACCAGAGAAAACGTGAGATCTGAGAACAAATATGAGAGCTAGACCTAGGCTCAATGATCTTGGAGGCACGTCTGTGAGTTGGGATCCAACCTCCTGGCCTTGCTCCAGACCCTTCACAAGCCAAGATTTACCACTGCAGAGATGGCACTGTGTAATGGCTCAAGGTTTTCTGATGGAGTAAAAAGGTTGCCATTTTGTACTATACCTGAAGGGGCAACGGGTAGGATGGATATGTAGAAATTGTTGCTGCAGAAGGACAAAATCCAGCATATGTCAGGATCTGCTGGGTAGGGTTGTACAGGATCTGAGGAGGTGGTGCGGCACTGAAAGCGATTTGGGACATAGGTACCTGTTGAGCATAGAAAAAAAACGATTTAATCAGCACCATGCAGAGGGGTCCGGAGCAGTAACTGGTCCCAACACTACAAATAACATCACATTTTAATAACTCCCGATTTCCCAGTGTGAACCAGTACTACAAAAAAATAAAAATAATTTTAAAAATGGTAAACAGAATGAGAGGAAGGTGTATCTGGAATAAATTTTTTGGCCAGAATTGCACGTCTATTTCAATTTTCTATCCTTGGAAAAAAGACAGCAGGTGCTTCCCTAGCAGCAGTTGCAGAAGCACTGGCAGGACTCCAGACCAGAGACACCCTGAAAAGTGCAGCATACAGCTTTGACTGCTTCCTCTTATCCACTCCTTCACACTTTGCTGCAGATTCTTTCCAGTAGCTACTACTGATGCCTCTCTCAGCTTTCCTACACCGTTCTGCAAAAACCGCTCTTTCCACAGCTCCCACTCATTTGTGAAATGGAGCTCTCTTCTGGCTCTGCAGCACCACCCCATGTATGCCTATCTCATTCCTGCTGCACAAAATCAAGAGAGATGCTCATTTGCATCAGAATTTAATTGACTCCTTTATCATATCTCATCACTCTATTGGCATGCCCCTTAACTGCAGTTTGTAATAATGTTTGCAGGAAGAAGTAATAGCTCTCTGTATACCAACCAATGAAATTAGGAAGAAAAAAAAAACAAACACAAAACCCAACAACAACAATAAGCAAAATGAAAAGCTGAATGTGACTGTGACTTGTCTTCCCAAAACCTTATGCTACATAACCATTTGCAAAGGATGACAGAGTTCTGCTTTGCAAATTGAGACAAACCCAGTGGTTTCTCTTCTCTCCTTTGTTTTTATTAGCAGATTCCTTTACATGAGAGCATGGAATTTTCTTTTATATGGTGATTGCAAGACAAATACTGAAAGCAGCAGCCAAGAGTTTTTTTGGCATTTCTTTTCAGACTTGACTTATCTGTGAGAGACATGAACAACAGCATCCTTCAGAGATAGCATACACGCTGTGATTGAGACAGGAGGGGTACATTCATTCATTTTGCAGATGGAAAACATCATCTAGGTGCCTCGTGTACTGCATGAAATTATCTGGCAGTCCAGGCTCTTTGGAGAAATTCAGCAGCTCAGGAGCTGGCACAGAGAAAGGCTGTCCCCAAAAGCAGAAGACCTATGCAAGTCTCTCATCTTCAAGATACAAAACATTTCCTTTTTACAAACCCTGATGAGTGCAGACAGTTGTTCCTTCTTCTTGGAACCTCTCTAAATCCTTTTATGTTTTCTCCAACTGTAGCACCAGCATTCTCCACTTGCTAGGGGTGAAGATTACAACAGTCCTAGGAGGTTTGCAGAGTCAATAACCCCAAATCCACTGATCAAGCATCAGCTTGGAGCCAGTGATGACTTGCAGGTATTGAGGCTGGTTAGATGCTGATATCAAGTATTCTAGTAGTGGTGCTATGATAAATTTGTCATGTGACATGCAAGGTGTTTTTGTTTCAACTGAGATGGAATTGTTTTTCTTCAGTGTCTGGCATGATGCTGTGTTTTGTTTGTAGGAGAAAAGCAATGCTGATAACACACCGTCATGTCAAGATGTTGCTGAGCTGTTGTGGAAAGCCAAGGCCATTCCTTTTCTCAGTTCCTACTAGCAAAGGGCTGGGGGCAAGAGATGAGCCAGGAGAGGAGAGAATCAGGACAGCTGACTTAAACTGGCCAAAGTGATATTCCATACCATATGGTGTCATGTGAAAGGAGAGTTTTGAAGGCAATGGAAGCATCTCACTCACTTCCACTTGCTGGGGTCTAGCTGGGCATCAGCTGAGGGGTGTTGAGCAATTGCTTGTACATCACTTGTTATATATACACATATGTATAATTGTCATGGCTATTATCTTTTTTTCCTCCTCCTCTTCTTCTCGATCTTAGTAAATAACTTTTATCTCAACTCAAGAGCTCTACTTTGTTTTTCTTTCCCATTCTCCCCTCCCCCAATCCCACTGAGAAGGGGGGAGTGAAAGAACGACTGTGTGATGCTGAGCCACCTGCTGGTTAAACCACAATACAAGGGTAGGCAGAGACGTTTTAAACTGAAACAATTCATTTTAACATCAAAGTGCACCTTCTCTTGCAAGACATGAGGGTAAGGGAAGAATCATAGAATCATAGAATGGCTTGGGTTGAAAAGGACCACAATAGTCATCTACTTTCAAGCACCCTGCTATGTGCAGGGTCAAAGAAGAAAAGGAGAAGGGTGACAGGAATGATATTATTTCATCTGCTCAGATTCCCTTAAAGACTCCAAGGAGAATAATTAAAAAAAAAAAAAAAGAGCAAGAGACTCCTCCAGGACCAGAGGTCATTCAGATGAATGCAACCCTAAACTCAAGGCAGGCAGATTCCTTGGGAAGGTGTGTCAAGAAAACATTTCCAATCATCAGATGAATACCAGGGCAGGGAAGGGAGATGTTTTAGTTAACTCTTTATAATAGCAGGTAAAGTTTTTCATGCGTTTTTGTCAAACATAAGAAATGATCAAGATATTTTATCATTTTGGATACTTCTATTTACATTATGTCTTCATCTGCTGTTGTTAAAGAAGACTTTAAGGTAACTGCTTAGCCTGAGTCTCATATCCGTGCACAAGGTAGACCTGAAAGGGAAAGTATTGACACAACTGCTGTGGATACTCCAGCAAATCACAGGAGACAGCCCTAGAGTGACACAGGGGCTACAGAGAGCTGATACACCAGGGCTCAGGAGAGGATAAAGTGATTCCCACTGGGTCAACACAGCTCTCTGGCACACAGCAAAGCCACAGGGAGCATGCCAGGGTCTGCAGAGAATGTGTCACAGGAAAGAAAACCGTAAGAATATTTATTTTCTATCAAAAATGTGATGGGTGTAGATGCAATTACCCTGTTTTGCAAACTCTCTCCTTCCAGAATGTTTTGGCTGCCAGCATTCCGCAAAGATAAACACGATGTTTTGTTGGAGTAGTTGGCCAGCCTTGTGTTTCCTGGAAGCCAACCTCAGAGCTCTGCCCTTAGGCATTGCACTGAGCTGCAAGTGACATCCTGAAAGAAAGACAATTGTCCTCTCACATGTTTTGAAGCCTTTTCTTATTTCAGTCCCATGCTCCCTTTTCTCCCTCTTAAGTTTGATGTTTTCTTGGCTCCCTACAAGACCTCTTTCATAATTAAAGCAAACAGCACATGAGCAAAGCTGATGTGGTCTGTACCTCAAAAGAACTCTGAAACAGCATAATCTGCAAGGAATAGTTATTTCATTTTGGATGGATCCTTTAGTAACTCTTTCAGGAACATAGTATGCATCCTCTGCTGGGCTGATCAACATAAATTCTCCTTAAGCTAGTGAGGTGTTTTTTCAGCTCTTGCTGTAGAGGAGATATTAAACAGCTTATTCAGATCAAGTTTCAACTTGGAGCCCCCTTCATTAGACCCTCTTCAGCTTGCTGTCCCTTAGGAGCTGCACAGTGATACCTCCTTGCAGCACTGAGATCTGCCTGGGCTGGAGCTCATTCCCGCTACAAAGCTTCAGCCCAAATCCCATTTAAGCCTGGGCTGATGCAAGGCAGATTTAATGGGTGCAGTGTGGCTCTCCACACCTTTCCACATCTCAGGGAAACACTAATAGCCCTGGTTCAGAGTCCTAAGCAAGAAGCACTGAGAAAGCTTCTCTCAAGCAGCTGTAGCTGTTCACATCTAGCTAGCTGCAGTTCGCTACTAGCTCCTTGCGAAGGTCCCTTCATACAAAGGATGGTCAGTTGCACATTGATAACATGCAGAAGTTCAGTATGATTGCTTGCCTTGAGTTAGAGAAAGGTGCAAACATTTGCAAACTTTTAGCAAAGGTGAATTTCACATAATCTATATGGCCCTACTGCATGGTTTTAAGGCCCTTGTAAGCTTCTGCTGCCAGCTGGTTGCAAGGCAGCAGACAGTAGGCAACTCTTTGGTGACACAGTGGCATAGGCTGCCCAGGGACAGTGTGGAGTCATTGTCCCTGAAGGTATTCAAGAACTGTGTGGATGTGGCACCAAGGGACATGGTTTAGTGGGCATAGTGGTGATAGGCTGATTGATGGTTGGTCTTAAAGGTCGTTTTCAACCTTAATGATTCTATAATTCTGCCCCATCCTGTTCCTTTCTTCTCAATCTGCTCCTGCACCAGGGTATCACAGAAGGGAGGGACTTGTTCTACAGAGGCAGAAGGACAGATAGTAGGGCTCACAGATGAAAGGGCTGCCATCACAACATCCAGAACAGGAAGATTCAGCTGCCATCAGTTCTGAACTTTTGGTAGCTCACAGGTAACATGGCTGCAGAGCAACACAGGAAAACGTCCTCTGAGATTCCTCCTACCCTATGTAGCCACCCATTTTCCAGGGCTGCCTCACTATCTCCATCAAGGAGCAGTGACTTGCTGCTGCTAGTGAAAGATATTTTTATAAAGAGAGGATGCCTAGAGCACTTAACCGTCTGTCACTTCTGGCAGGTGATGCTCTAGAAATGCAGGAAGGCCACAAAGGGGATACTACTCCCTGCTTCATCTCTCTCTTCTTTCCTTTCATCCTTCTTCTTAATTCTCTTCCATGTGAATAGTCACAAGAAATTTGCTGCTGCCACCAGCAGACATTTGCTGTTCTCACACAGTGCTTCTGCTCTTGAACTTCAGCCCTATCCCCACACCTTCACCTGCTCAGTTCAGAAGCCCTTTGGGTGGGGGATCACTTATGCTTCTGAGTGCCCATCCCATTGGGAGTCACTTCACTGGTCCATTTCTTCTCACACACAGCCTCTTCTGAAAGCAGCGGCATGTATCAGTGTGATACAGGGAGCAGTTAAAGAGAGGCAGTCTTCAGTGAAACAACAGAGGAGATTAATGTGACCTGAAAATAATTATTTGAATAAAAACTTGACAGGTCCTTCAGTGTTAATCCCTATTCTTGGGAAAACAAGTACATAAATCATCACACTAAGGACTTTACTTTTATGTTATCTACAAACTTGCAACCCTTAACTCTGCTCTTGCTCACATGTTCAGTGCTGAATTAGAAGGAAAAAAAAGATGTCAGAAATGAAGCACCAGCATCTGTTCATGCAGACGCCTGTTTTTCCCCTTCCACTCATGTATTGACCAGACCTGACCTACTTAGCTGTGAGCAGCTGGCAACTGCTTAGTCTAAATATGTGGCTCCAGACTCCCAGACCACACATGAAACATGTTTAAAGTGCCTCTTTTGTGTACTTAACGCTTGGTTTTTAACTCACTTGATAACATCAACAAGCACAGAAGTCATTACAGAAGGCAAAAAACCATAAGCCTTACCATGTCTTTAAATGCTCCAAGAATGGCTGCTGTGATGATCCCCAGAAACAACCCAATGATGTTCAGGACTGTGGAGGACCACAGCAACCTATACAGGTGAACCACATCCTGACAGCTGCTCACGCCAAGAAATTCATAGTAGCTGGAGGACTGCTCTGAGCTGAAAGGGAATGCAGATAGCGTCACTGCTGTGTTTTGCACAAAACAAAGAGAACCAGAGGATCTGAATCCTTCCTGCTTACTTTTCTCTCTGGCAAAGTACTTAATCCACACTCCCACCTATGAATGTTAACAGTGCTTGGATGAACTGAAGAAAGCTCTGCTTGGCTAAAATAACCATTAGACATTTCACAGAATCACAGAATGGCCAGGGTTGGAAGGGAATTCAAGGACCATGAATCTCCAACCCCCCTGCCACACGCAGGGCCACCAACCTCCCCATTTAATACTAGACCAGGCTGCCCAGGGTCCCATTCAATCTGGCCTTGAACACCTCCAGGGATGGAGGGAACATTTAGTTCTACAAAAACCAACTCTAGTTAAGCTGATCAGTGTTGGCACAAGCAAGGTATCCTAATTCTTTGCTGAGGGCCTCTGAACAGAAAGGTAACCTGGTTACAGGTGCTGCCCTTGCCATTTAGATACTAGCTCAACACAGCTCTTTTTACCAGTTCACTCGGAAATCTGCTGGCATCTCTGTCAAGTTGCTCCAGCATTAATTCAACCACAGGAAAGGAGACTTTGCAGCTGACCACATTTGTTTATGGTGTCTGCAGTTCCAAACTAACAGATGCTACAAAGTACAGTATAAAGATGTGCCTTCAAACTATGTACTATACTACCCAGAAGTTTGCTTGTTTTTATTTGTACACTGCAATGGTTATTGTAGACCAGGCATACTGTGGAGTCAATCCTCATCACCTTGCTGAAATTGAGAAATGTTTTACTGCAAAACCTGAAAACAATGTCCTGTTATTGTTCTCAGTACCTGCCCTAGTGCTGGGCAAAAGCAACTCTTTCATGCATAAATCTTGTGAATTACCTCATATTGCCAGACTCATTGTCATACACTGAAATCCTACATCTGTAGCACGCTGGTCAAAGCTGACAGAGGACTGAGGCTACTCAGGGCAGGTTATATGTGAAAAGAAGAAAAAAAGTACAAGACAGAACAGGAGACATGGGAAGGAAGAAAGATGTGAAATATACAGAGGAAAAGAAAGAAGAGGAAGTCTATGTGAACTGTAGATGGTTACAGAGGCATGGTAAGTGCATGATAAGATGATCCTGAGCTGTGTGGAGAATGAATGCGGCAGAAGATGCATTCCAGGAAATTCTCTTTGGCTTCTTGTATGTGGCAACTCATGATGCTGCTTGCCATTGGAATCTACATTGCAGGTGGCCAGCCAGTTGTGTCAGTTCATTCCATTTCTGTTCCCCATTATAAACCCCTGGACTTGGCTGTGATGTAGTTTTCCTAACCACCGCTGTAATCCTGGTAAATGACTGCATGGCAACTCCGTGATAGCCTTCTGCTGATCTTTGTAAGGATATCCAGATGTTTCCTCCCTTCTTCTCTCCTGGCTTCTCATGCTTCAGTAATGATGAAGTCATACGGACAGCTTCAGGAAACACTCACAAGACCCTCTGTATCTATCCTATGGCAACTCAGTAAAATCCCATGCATACAGAAGCTATTACTAACAAAAAAGCTCTGCATTTGCCTGCAGTGTGATCTCTATATATGGCCACTTGTGTTTCTATTCATTTTGTTTTCCCCATTTTGGTAGAAGAAACGATTAATGAAACCTAGTGAGAAAACTGCATTGCAAAATCACCAGTAAATCTTGACAGAGCTATGACAGAGTGGTTGGATTTGATCACGCAGCAAAGAGCTTACTGATATACTTTAGAAAAATGACTACAACAACAGATAACACCTGAGTCCTGCCCATGACATCTGGATACCAGTGACCAAGAAACTGACTTACTCAGCATGCAAGCCCCCTACTTTGCTTCTCCAGACCTAATGGGAAATGTTCCCATCACTGATGAGGAAGTACAAACAATGAGGGATTTCTCAGAGGCCATTGACTGCACACAGGTACTTACTTCTCACAGTTGTACAGGTCACAGCAATAGCACGTGTTACTCTTTACTTTCAGCTGGCACTTGGTGTTTAAGGTGTAACATGTCACCTGCCAAAAAAAGAAGAGACCAACTTTTAATCTCAGTGTTTCAGTGCAACGTACAAGTCACCATACTGACCCCCAAGATTCAGGTACTGCAGTGCACTTACTGTTAAGCAGGATGGCGTTCCAGGGCACAGCAAAGTTTTCAGTCACTGTTACAGTGCTCCACACTACTTTGCTAAAACCCGAGTTCACAGCGATCCCTACAGCAGTGACACAGTGACAATGTGTCCTGGGAGACACACTGTGGTAAGCCACTGCATATAAAATCCTTTCTAGTGGGGAAATGGACAAAAAGGCCAGTTTTTAGAAAATGGGAGCTCTTGCCTGTCAGTAACATCCTCCCAAGGAAAGGAAATAATTAAGAACAACAGCAATGATCTCCAAACCCACAAACAAAATCACTCACAGAAGATCCAAGCACTCCAGCAAATAACTAACATTCACAGCAGACTCCTGAATATAAAGCCTAAAATATTTATTTTGCAGGCTCCTGAATATAAAGATGAAAAGATTTATTTCTGTGAGCAGGAACTGCATGGACTGGGTTAGTACAAGAAAGGTAGACACACATAAGCCAATCTCAATCTAACAAAACAAGAATCTAACTAAACAAGAAATCCTTTTAATGAATCCTTAAATATGGTAAGAATGTATCTTCTATTTGGCTCCACAGACCAACTGAAATATTTTACATCTTTTTCCTGAGATTTTTAGTTTGCGTTTGAAATCCTAGAGAACTGTTATGTTTTAAAAGCCAGCAGGACAGAAAATACATTTTTTCTATGGTTTTTGACAAAAAAAAAAAAAAAAGCTGTAACAGCTGAGAAGTATTTTGTTTGCAAAATGCATATAAAATGCATTACTGAATGGAAAATTCCTCATAATGATAGAGCAGAAATACCTTGCTTAGGTAGCTTTTGAGAAGCTTCTGTCAGACAGTTCCTCTCATTCCTGCTTAGCCATGAATATGTTCTTTTATGAGACAGTCTTCACAAATGTTACCCCATGTTTCTCAGCTCCTGAGGTTTGGATCTACACATCTTTCTCAGTGTGAAAACTGCCATTGTCAATGAGCCTGTAGTCCTCATGTGTTTGCTCCTGACAGAAAGGAAGGTCTTATGCAACTATCAGCACCAGAGAAAGTTCACCTTGCTGCTGATCTCAGACTTGCCAACTTGTGCTTAGCACCGTTTATTTCAACAGTGAAGTTAGAAGGAGGATAAAACTAAAAGGAAGACAAAACGATGCCCTGGGATTGCTTTGCTGCCCAGGACAAGGCTAAATGTATGGTTAGCCTCCGGAACAAACCAGCTGTTCTAATCCAAAATGGAAGTTAGATTATGAAAGGATGGTTCCAATTTGAATTGCAATCATATGTCAATGGCTATCTCAAATTAATCGAGATCCACCTCAGAAGTAACTGAAATATCACATGGCTATTTCTCGAAGCATTTTGAAAACTGATCCTGGAGTAGACCCTACCAATGTATCTGCTACCCAGGCCATTTTGTTCGAAGGCTCTAATACTTTTGCATTGAAGGAACACAAGACTTTGGCTTTCAGCCTCTGTCCACAGACAAAATGGCCTAGGACTCACATAGCTAAAATACTCTTGTTCCATCACACGTGTGGTTGGGAACAGAGTATACTGTAAGATGGAGAGGGCTGCTAAAATGTGGCTTTTTTTTTTTTTCTGATACATGGCTTTGGGGATCATTTCTGATAGAAGAGAAGTAGTAATTTGTTTCTGATAGAAAAAAAGAGAGTTCCCCTCTCCAGTTTGCCCCTTCTAACTGTGGAAGGCTAGAAGGATGAAAGAAGGAGATTGGCAAGATCTTGGACACAGAATCACAGAACGATTTTGAGGTTTCAAAATGTATTAAATTTTTGTCCAAGGGAGTTATTTTAGTTGTCTATTTTTGTCACTGAATTTTAAAATATACATAGAGCAAGACAATCCTTTTTAGGAGATCAGTGGATAAACCAAAATAAACAAATTTCTGTGTGGTGTGAGCAAGGGTGGAAAACAGGCCACTTGTGGGTATCTTGCATGTCAAGGACTATTTTTCCATTTCGGTGACCAGACATTTAACTTTTTCATATTCTGGCTGTTTTTGACTGTCTATCCTTCAGCACAATTCAAGAGAAATTCCCACCTCATAGAGATTGCAAGAAAATCTAATCATTTTTGCTTTGAGCAAATAAAAGAAATATTACCACCCGACTCCATGAGCTGGAGACCACTCAGAAGCTAGAGATGGCAATCAAAAGGAAACTCACTCTCAGAAAACAATCTGTCTTCCTGGTTTGGTGTTTGCCTGGAATGTAGAGCATTCTCCTGCTGGCTAACTTCAGGAAAGCAAAAGCCAAGTTTAAATGCCACAGATTAGTAACTGAATTAGCACATGCTGACTCCAGCTTGGTAGACAACCAGACAAGAATGTTATTACAAACTAACCACACTTTTAAAAAGATATGTCTGTGGGGGACTTTTTGCTGGAATAGAGAAAGGAGTTCAGGACGGCCCAAACTGAGACATTTCCAATACATGCAGAGCTAAGAAAATCTGTCCAGGCAGAAGACTGAGGCTGGGGTCACCTGCAGGGAGTTGAGGTCAGAATGACCTGAGCTACACACTTATCAGAGGAATCAGAGGCATTATATGGGATGTGTCTCTGCCTGGATGTGCATTGACATGTTGGAAGTTTGTCAGGGTAGCTCTTGAAGCAAGGAGGTCAATGAAACATTTTTGTCATGTATTGTCTGGAAACGACAGCAGGGTGCCCTAGCAACAAGATTTAAGTAACTAACTGCTTAGGTTAGTAATAGACTTTGCTAACCTACCTAGAATTATTAACAGTAGCATTCCCAGTACCCCTTTTCACAACCACAGGACAAATGAATATATGGCTTCTTGTGAGTTTGTTCTCTATCCTGCTCTGCCTGATTTCCTTTTCACTCCCAAAAATTTACCATAATATTAAAATGAATAATCGGAAAGGAAACTAAATCTGGATTTCTCCAGAGGCTAACCCTTTGGGTATAAGCACTGTTCATATCATTTTAATATCCTTGAGACAATAAAAACTGCACACAAACCACTGACATTCTTGGCCTGAGCAGGATAAATACAGAGAATACTTGAAGTCTTCTGGACATTGCAGGTCAACAAAAACCTCCTCAGAGAAAGTCAGTGTGATAAAAACATTTCAGACATCTCTTATACAATATATATGATAATCATTCCAATCCCAGAGTAGTGTGTTGAATACAAACACTGATGATGACTCAAAATCTTACTGATTGTAATGATTTGCAAACATCAGAGCCCAGGCAGATGGGGGACCACTTATGGGAGGGAAAAACAGTTGGGTTACCATCAACCTACATGCACAGAGACACTCTCAAATGACTGACTTCCTCCTCCTCAGCTCCTTGAAACACAAGAGGAATGAACATATGAAGAAGCAAATTTGTTTACCTCTGTTTGGTAGGCATCATATAGGAATCCTACTCCACTTGAATAAAACTGGCATCTTCTGTTATACAAAGGTCTAGGTTCCTGTAAAGAGAAAAAAATATCCAGAAAAGCACTCAGTCTGGAGGAAGTTTGAAAGCACTGTGTCTCATATCCCCGTGCCGGATGTTTACAGCTCCATGAAGCTGGAACCAAAGCAGACAGTTGGGTAAGCAGCTCACATACTCTGGTATTGGCTTCTTTCTGTAAAAGATCTCCTCAGTGTTACATTTTTCTTCCTCAGTTTGCCACTAAGCTATCTGAGTATCATTTAATTTTCACTGTCCCTGTCAATTGTCTTGAGAGGACATCGCCTGGGATTAAAACACTTCCTTCCCCAGTGTCAAACAGCACTACTATGTGAGAATGGTCCAGTCACTTCTTTGCCTGGTACAGTTTCTTACCCAGCACAAAGTATTACTTTACCATATGTCTTCAAGATACATGACTTTCTTTTAAGGGATTTCAGCAATGCCCATAGTGAAACAAGGTAGAATACCTGACACTTTAAGCATTCCATTTACTTCATTCACTTCAAAACCACAAAACAAAACAAAACAAAACAAAACAAAACAAAAAAAAAAGAAAACATTCAGGGGAAGTACTTCACAATAAATTTGTTTTTGTCTTCTTTTCCATTTATGCTTATTGTAAAAGGTATATTTGCTGCTGTTTTGCCTGTGACAGTTCCCACAAGCTGATACAAAGGAGGTACACAATGAAATATCCTTGGCTAGATGAAAGATGCGTGTTTCTGAACTTGGCAAAAGGCCACATGAAGGCTAGAGGGTGCATGCCTCAGCCAGTTTCAGGACAAGTACATATTTGCCTAGGGAGCATTTTGCAGCTGAAAAGTTCTGTGTGATCTGGTATATATCTCAAACCAAAGTGTGAGAATGACTTGTGTTATCATAAAATAATTTTTCAACTTTTTGACACTAATCTAGTTAGTCTGGTTAGTCTGTGATTCCCAAGTCATGATCTGGACCTTCAAAGCACTCAAATGCCATCATCACTGTCAGTCACATCACTTCCAAGAAAGAAGATGGCATCTCACTATCTGCTGTTTCCTCTTTCCATGCTAACTTTCAAGCAAAAGATCACTTTGGTTTTTAGCAGAAATTAGTGTCTGTTAACTTTCACTGCATCAGCCTGGGCTTTAAAGCTTTTTGACTCATTCACGACCAACCTAGGAATTGCAGAAAGAGCTATGCTCGTTATGATCACTTCTCAGTATTCTGTATTTGTTAGATAATGAAGTGTGAACTGTATAAATCTGCTGACCCAAAATACATATCAGTAAAAATGCAGAGCTAGGCAGGAATGCAGAGAGGTCAATGAATAAAGTTCATCCAACAACATGTTGGCTTCTCTGATTACTCTATCAAACCTAAGAAAGTTTGGATACCATTTCCTAAGGGTTAGGGAAAGATTAATTTCCTGCATCCAAAAATATTTATATCACACAAGTGTAAGAAAAAATGCGTTAGTAACTATTATTTTCTCAATAGGAAATGTAAACACCACACAAACAGCACAATGTGTCTTGAGCTAGGACAGCATTCTTCCACAGGCCTGGAAAAGCATCAACCCTTAGCTATGACTTCCAGGGACAGATCTGACTGGTAGAGCTAACAGCATTGCAATTTCTCAACACGCACAGCAAGCACAGGATCAGCCAAAGGCCACACTGTACTTTTCTCTTCACAGAGTGTCATCCTCCAGCACTGATTCATCTGTTGTTTGGGGATGAAATAGGGGTGATATGGGAGAAGAGTGAGCATTTCAAATAGCTTTTTCTAGCATGAAAAGCAAATCCATGAAACAAGATGTCCATCATATCCACAACAATAACAAGCTTCTGTTTTATCCTGGAAGATCCTGGAAGTGAGACATGGTCAAAGGCATGGGGAACCAGATGGCATTCTCCTCAGCCCTGCTGATCAGAAAAAATCATTTGAGATCTGGATGGATCTAGAGGGTCAACAACTGGTACATTTGGTATATTGGCAAAAGGAATTTCACTTTTATGGCCAGTATCTAAGTGGAGGCTACAAGAAAAAAGGGGATGGACACTTTCGTGGGGTCTGCTGTGATAGGACAAGGGGAAATAATTTCAAACTAAAAGAAGGGAAATGGGATGTAAGATTGGATGTAAGAAAAAATGTTTTTATCACAATGAGAGCGGTGAGGCACTGGAACAGGGAACTGGAACAGATACACTGTATTTCTTGCCCTTGGAGACATTAAAAGTCTGGGGCTCTGAGCAATTTCATTTAGCTGTTGGTGCAGGGGAGTTACAGAATCACAGAATCGCAAGGTTGGAAACAACCTGCAAGATCTAGTCCAACCACCCTCCCATTCCTGTTAGTACCACAAGCTACTAAACCATATCTCAAGTTGGACTAGATGACATTTAAAGGTCCCTTCCAACTCAAATGTTCTGTGATATCTCTATATCTTAACAAAAAACAGTGAGAAAGCTGTCTAATCAGCATCCATCAACTGTTGGAAGACCATCTCCCTAGCCTAATCTCTTGGCTCACATAGATTTACTACTCTTTACACCTCCTTCCTCTTATTTAATTTTTTTTTTTTAAAGGTCATTTTATTAATGTGGTCTTTGATGGAGAAAGCAGTTTTTATCCATGGGTGCTTGTGAAGTGCTAGAAGCAGCACTGTCCCTAAAAGAGAGATGATTGATTAAGCCACACCAGCTATTATTGCTTCATATTGCCATACACCAAAAACATCAGAGCTGTGTTATGGAAGGAACCACTGTGAATACAGTTGATATATCTACATGCACAGTCATAGCAAGTGTGTACATTTTCATTCACCCAATTTTGAAAAGCAGGCCCTGTGCTCTGCTATAGGCAGCTTTCTATGTCCAGCCTTTTCTTGTAAATACATCTGTATATGCAGTCAATCCGGTCATTCCAAATCAAAACAAATGAGTGATGGTAGGGTGTGTAAAAATAACAAAGTTAGATAACTTTTTTTTTTTATGCAGGCATTTGCAGAACTCAATACCTGAAGTATGCAGTTTTTAAATATGGGCAAATTCAGGGTGCTGAACTGCTGAACTGTTATAGGATTCGATTTGATTTCCAAGTCACAGAAGTCACAGAACCAGTCCTTGGTTCTGCTGCTTACAGCAACACCGGTAGCGACAGAGCTATTTTTCTATTCTGTTTATGTATTTAAGTGCATACACACACACACACACACATGCTATTAACAGTGGCTTTGAAGTACATAGCAATAATATCCTATTATATCCCTACTTATTTTTGTATTTAAATAAATGCTGTATTAAACAACATTTTCTGAACTTAAACTGACAGCAATCTGATTACATCTGCCTGTTATGCATAGACACACTCATCCATAAAGTAAAAATGGTATCAGTATGAAACAAAAAGATCTGAGTATGCAGACACAAAAGAGAAGATGACTATCACTTTTATAGACAGCAATAAACAAATTCAAGCATGCAGCTATGTTTCTGTACAGACTTCTCCCTCTTTTGGCCAACCTGTTGGTGTTTTTCCACTACATAACATCAGTGGAGCTCCAATTAGCAGATCTTAAAATTTTTAGTTGTGTCAAAAAAAAAATCTGGATAGCCAGTAATTCTCTTAATTGCAGGCAAATCAGAATTCCTCAGAATAGAACCCTACGGATGAAAATAGCTATCCCTGATCTTTTTACATGGTTTTTATTTCCACATTTTGAATGCATGTGTACTAGAATCTGTGAATGATGAACAGACAGGTAAGAGGAAAGGCTTCACACCAAGTAAGATAAGATTCAGCCCAAATATAGAGGGTTTTAGTTTTGCTGGCTGCATATACCAATTAAAAAAAAGCAACACATTTCCTTGATAGTGAGAGCACTGCAATACATCACTTGCGTAAGGAGAAGAAGGAGAGTACTCTGAATAATATCTTTGATGAATTTGACCTTATGTCTTTGGAGGATGGTTTTGTGTAGCTTTTAACTGAGGTATGGAAAGTACATATTTCTACTCCTGTTTTTGTTTCCTTGGAGAGCATGTATTTTGGATAACACAGGGAAAATTCCACCTCCTTTACTTATATGCTGCTTTATGAAAATGGAGACGTAGCGTAAATGGTATTGACTGAAATCTGTGCCACACTTTACAGACATGAAACATAATTTGCTTAATAATTTACTGAAATAATTATATAGTGAGGGCTATTTTTTTCCAATTGCAGTATTTATTTCATGTTAGCTTCCCTGGCTACATCAATAGAAGTGTACATTAAAGAATGCCAGGAGTCATTCCCAGGCCTGAAACTTGATTATCCAGCCCATTAGGTTGTTAGAATTGTGCCTGTGATAGCTTTGGCTTGGGCAAGCTGTCAGTCTTCCAAAATAACTTTGGTGCCTGGTTTGAAATAGCGTGGGCCAACAACCATTCCCAATAAGCAATTTGGACATTGCCACTCCGTTTGTCACTCTAAGAGATGTAACAGTAATGACTTGAGCTTTTCCACACCAGTTGCCACGGGGACCAGAAAACGGATCCAGGCACAACAGAAAGATTAATAAAAATAAAACTGAGCAGTCTAAAATCAGACTAATGTTTTTAGTGGCTCATTAACTTGAAGTGTTTTATTTTCTACTTGTTTTTCTCTATTACATTTTTGTAAGTCTTTTTTAATCTACAGCATAGATGGCAGCGAATATCCAATGAGTTGCCAAGATTTTTCAAGTTTAATCCTAAAAGCAAACTGAAGCACAATTCTTCAGCGCCAGCTCAGCCTTGTGCCAGCAGCTCAGTGTTCCAGAGATTATCACTCCTTTCAAGATCAGGCTCACTGTGAACTTTATGAAAGCAGACATGCAGGTATGAACAAAGAGGTATTCTTGGCAACCCGCTTTTATGCTTTTCTAGAGAGACAGATGAAAAGGTGACATGGTTTAGTGGGCATGGTGATAATGGCTTGGTGGTTGGACCAGGTGGTCTTCGTGGCCTTTTCCAACCTTACTGATTCTATGAAGCATAGGTATCTGCC